AGAAATTTTATGTAACAAAACTGCTTAATCATGACAAATATTAACTGCAAAATTGGGAAAAAGTGCACAATCGCAACTCCTTGTGCGTTTTTCAGAATAGCACATACACATAAACCATGTACACGTCGACTTATTTTTACTTAAAAAAACATCCCAGAATTGCACAAAAATGGCATTGCGCACACTCTTCACTATATCCATGTACACTGCTTTTTTCTCATAAATTAGAAAAATTTGCACGAAAATGCAAAAAAAATTCTCTGAATCTTTAAACCTTGGTAAAAAGCAACATATATGAAATTACCTGATCGCAAAAAGTATATACCCTTTCCAAAGGATGAACATTTCCACGTATAAAATAAATAAAATATCCAAAAACTTTTACCTCTAAATCATCTATTATATTATAAACGTCACCAACGAATTCATACCGCAAACATTACAAATGGTTACAAATACTTAGTGTCAAATATTTAAATTATTTCCATGCACGTTTACTTCAACTAAAACGTATACCAAATTCCTACAAACATAAAATTCACAAAATAACTATCATTTAATTAAAATATCACTAAACCATGTACACGTCGACTTATTTTTACTTAAAAAAAACATCCCAGAATTGCACAAAAATGGCATTGCGCACACTCTTCACTATATCCATGTACACTGCTTTTTTCTCATAAATTAGAAAAATTTCACGAAAATGCATAACAATTTTCTGAATCTTTAAATCCGGTAAAAAGAACATATATGAAATTACCTGATCGCGAAAAAGTATATACCCTTCTAAAAAGATGAACATTTCCACGTATAAAATAAATAAAATATCCAAAAACTTTTACCTCTAAATTATCTATTATATTATAAACGTCACCAACGAATTCATACCGCAAACATTCTAAATGGTTACAAATACTTAGTGTCAAATATTTAAATTATTTCCATGCACGTTTACTTCCACTGAAACGTATATACCAAATTCCTACAAACATATAATTCACAAAATAACTATCATTTAATTAAAATATAATTAAATTTAGAAACACTACTTAAAATATAAATAAGCACATACATTAAATTAATAAAAATTAGCTTACAATCCTAATTACTTTAAACTAAATCATTGCTAATAACTATTTTCCAATAATGCGATATTACTTTATTTACTCCTTACATTTTGAACAATGCATAAAAATAATATCCTCAAATAATTAAAAATACTAACTTACCTAATCTGCGAATTTTTCCTCCATATTTCCTCCGCTAAATAAAAAGCAAAGTTCTCTTTATCACAATGCCTAAATAACCATTTCGAATTCACTTTAGTTAGGGCCAATAGATCCAAAAATTAACCAACATTGTTTCACACAACACAGAATAAAGCTAAATACAAAATTTCCAGATTTTTTTTGAGATTTCCCCCCTTTTCCGATTAAAGAACTGTAATTCGTCCATTAATGTCACATGACGTATCTCATGATCTCTCATTTCCCTCACACAAAATAATGCGTAATCGGAACTGAGTCCTTCCGGTACTTCTCACATTATTACCAAAGCTTTAGGTAGTAACCTTTATCGCCTCCAAAATGTTGCCAAACTACCAGTTACCATATTCCAAAGATCAGCGAAATATTTTATCTATTAAAATTAATTTTAATAAAAATTTATTTAGGCTTAAATAAAAATTTGCAACTAACAATTGTAATGTATCAGTACAAGAGCACTCAATTTTCAATTCGCATTGCTGGCGTTTTCAAAGGTTTTATTGACCGTTTTGCTTAATATTTTGGTGAATTATGAGTAGTCTTGTAAAATTTATGTGTAGTCTTGTAAAATTTATGTCATATTATAGGATCTGTGTTAACTAAAATAGGAATTTTTAGTAATGTGAAAAAAATTCAGTACCACCTTTTAAAAAGTTTGGCTTAAAATACCCATATTTGAGAATTAGCCAGAGAGAATGAAAACAAACAAGAGAAGAAAAAAAGTCTGTGTTGCAAACTTTATAGATGTAAACTGGGGCATATAAAATTGATTTAAACAAAATTTGCAACAAATCTTGTTTCAGAATAATATTAAAAAAAAAACTATTTGATGATGTGAACAGCATAAATCAGTTTGTATCGAAAATTCTGTATTTGTTGTTTGTCATACATCCATGTTGTCTTATTGACCATTTGAGTTAAATTTTAAGAAATGCTATCAAATTAATTTTTTGAGATTTTACATTTACATAAGGTGAAATGTACACCATTTTTAAAGGTCTTTCACATGACTTGTTCAAAGAACAAGTAGTTGTGACTAATAAATCGTTGTTTTCTCTGATACTGAATGAATCTAGATGTTCTATAATATAAGCATCTATTTTTATATGTTGTTATGATGGAAATGAATATAAAATATTGATGCAGTTTCTAGGACTCATTGAAGAAGTAGAGACATAAAAATTAAAAGTAACACTATATTTCTGAATAACAACATAGATTTAACAGTGAAAAAACATATTTTTTTTAATAACCAGAATTTGATAAAATGAAAATAAATTCACCTATGAAAACAGAAAATTAACTGAAAATTATTAACAATTAAAACAAAGCAAGAAACAATGAATTAAAAAAACAGTAATTTAAAAGGATTAGTACAATAGCATTAACTATCCAAAAATGTGAAAATAGTGGATCTGAACAAATTAACCGAAAAACAGCAACCTAAATTGAGAATTTAAAAAGGAATAGATACTTAAACAGTGGAAAATTAGCAATTTTGTTTTAAGATTTTCATCAAAACATTCATAATAAAATCACCAAGAATCAAATTAACCGTTTGCAATATATAGAAACTGAATTTGTGCTGAAGTTAGAGGTCAAATGAGTGCATGCTCCTATGACATCTAAAATTATATATCTGACACTGTGTGCTAATTTTTGCTTCTTTTAATTTTTATATTGCTACTTTGGTTTAAAAATTTCTGGCAACACTACAGGAAGCGTATGCATTTCCAATAGAAATGTTGTCTGACATTAGAAACATTTTAAAACTTGGACAACAAATTGCATCAAAAAAAAATTTTAATGAAATGGAGGTTCAATGAATCTCGAGTAAAGTCAGGTGATGGTAAGAGATAATGAAAAGATGAAAGAAGATGTTCTGGAAAAATTAATTTAATAACTTTTACGGTAGGGGACTTCTTGTTAATGTCTCTTTTTGTCTTCCTTATCTTTTATGCTGCATACTTTGTATTGCATTATAAAATTAAATTTCATCTTATTTTAATTGCCTATTACTGTGCTTATTTTTATTTATATATTTTTTTGGGTCTTTGATTTGATGATTTCCATTGGTTTTTGTGTCACAAACTTGTGTACACAGTACTGTTGTAAAGTTTAATAAGCAGTTACCTGCAATCCAAAAACAAATTAATCCGTTGTCGATTAATCCATATAGGTAAAAAGTTTCAGTGTACAGTCTTCAGGAATGAATTAGACTATTTTAAATCAAACAAGGAAAACTATAGAAAATGTTAATAAATACGAAAACTTGAGTGAAAGTAGTTTTTTATATTCATAAAATCATACTAAGTACAGGTAAGCAAAAGGCTGTTAACAGGTAAGCAAAAGGCTGTTACATCCCCCCTCCCTGGTTGAAAACCTCTTATATATAGGATGCATTGTAGCATTTTTAACAAGATACAATATCTTGAAAACTTTTTACATTCTTTTCAAATTTGACTAAAAACTTACTGCAGTCATAGGGTTACTAGTTAAATATTAATAACTGAATTTAATTTATAGTTTTAGATAAGCAATTTAATATTTTTCAAAAATCGTGGTTATAAGTTATAAAAAACATCAGTTCTTTCATAGTGTTTCTTCAAGGAAATGGCTGCTTTTAGTGCTTACTTAGATTGAAAACAAGTTTATCATCGGATATTGGCAACCTCCTCCCCCCCTCAAAAAGGGACATTAACTGGTTAATTGCTTACTTAAAGCAGGAAATAATATTAATTTGTTTAGTCTTCCAAAATTATTGCTGTTGTCGAATTTGTGTTAAATGAGATGCTGCATTCAAACTTAATATCTGTTAATTAGCCTGGTATAATCTGTTAACCTGTATTGTGTATCTTCTGAAGCCTGCGTTTTGAAAAGTATACTTAGATTCACATATTTTAGAGATTTGTAAGAGAATGGTCAAAATGTTCTCCTGAAAATTTTGCTCTTTCTTATAGAAATTATTTCTTTTTATATCAAAGCTCAGACTGAATCAGTCAAGTTAAAAAGTTTGTCAATTAAAATCTAAAGTTTTTGTTTAAGGTAATAGCTTGCTGCCAGAGAACAATGCAAATAAAGTTCACCCATCCAGCGAAATAAACTTCTGTGATTGTCATTACTTTAAAGAATGCAAAGTGTTTGCTGTTTTATTCATGAATTAAAACTATTCAGGAGTGGAGTAGCAGCTTGTTCGCATACAAAAGCCAACTGATTGCGTACGAGTACAGATAAGATTAGATAAGTACTGTTTATAAATAGGACTAATTAATCATATATAGACCTAGGATTAAGCCTCTTCAGTATATATCAGTACCACATACAAACAAATGGTTTTGTGCTTGAGTGAATAAAGCAAAGTCTCGTTATCTTAATTTCTTGTATAAGTAAAAATAATTTCAACACTTTGAGATTCAGTTTATTTTTTAAATTAAAGCATTTTGCTTTGTAGAATTTTACAGTATTTTCTGCATTTTAAAATTCTACAGATTATGCCTCTGAGCAAATCAAAATTTTCCTTTTAAGAAATCGTCATAATCTATTGATCATAGTTTATTAAAAAAAAATTTTTTTTCAGCCTAAAATTTGACATATATGTATAGAATATTCTATGAGTGAAATAGTTAAAAGAAAAAAATAAGATAAGTTCCTTGAGTGATGAATTGAATAATTAGATAAGTCATTTATTAGGATGAAATTCTTTAAAGATTTTTTTTTAATTGCATTTTTCAGAACTTCCAGCCGTCAGCTCAAGATTCTGCAACGCCCAACCGTCAGCGTTCTCCATCTTTCAACAAAACATCGAATGATGACTGCCTAAATGACAGCAATAGTTCCAGTCCCAGTGGCTTAACTCCTAGGGAAACTGGAATAGTTGAGAAATTACTTGTAAGCATAATTATATTTTCTATGTTATTTTTTGTCAATTGTAAATAGTTTCTTTCAAATTTATTTCATTTAAATATATTTATCATTCATTTGGAATTATTTTATGGGCCCAAATACATCTTTCCCTTATTATAGTAGTATACTTCAGATCTTGATTTAAGTTCTGTTAAAAATATATTCAGAGAAATCAAGCATGTAACATATTTAGAAAAAATAATGGAAATAAATTTTTATGTAGATTCATTCGGGGGCCACAGTTTTATTCAAATTCGATTAAATTACAATTTTTTCTTTTCTTTTTTGGGGGGAAGGGCTGAACAATGTTAAAAGAAATATTTTCCTGCAAATATAAAACAGAGGTCAAATTATCTCCCAGAAGTTGTAGTTGTCATGAATTATTTTTTAAATTAATTTTAAGTCTTTTCGATGTATGAAAGAAAGAAATTATTTATAGTTTCTTTCAACACATTTTAAAATAATAAATCTCTTGAATGGGAATTTTTACAGCAAGCATAATAGCGAAATTTTGGCGAGCAGATTAGTTTAATTTGCAGCATCAAAGCTTTTTATAAGTGATGATTTAGAGTGATTGTTGATATATTAAGAAAGATATACAAGAGTGTATTTTATACTTTTCATTCTGAAAGTTTCTCAGTTCCTGAGAATTTCTTTTTAAAAATTTATTAAATGATTGAAATGTTATCAAATCTGAAAAACCTAAAATATAAAACAATATTAAGTAAGCACATAGCTATTTATTATTTATTTGCGAGGTAATTTTAGAGTATAAAATGTTACTAATAACAACACTTGTTGTTGTCTTAATACTAGAACCGTGAAGCAGGTTAGTTTGACCCAAACTGATGTTTAATTTGTCACCGTGCCAAAAGTATTAATTAAAAAAAAAACAACTCCTCCTTTTATAACTTTTAATAATTTAAGGTAAACAGTAAGTTTCTGAATTTGAAAATGAGGAACATTAATAAATTTCTGATTGTTAACACTTATACCTAGAACACGAAGCTGGTCATTTTGACCCATAAGTAATGTTTATGCCTAAATGACGAAAAACAGATGCATTTTCTCAGAAGTAACTGTAAAGTATATCTGCTTCACCCCTGAATTCCTCAAATTGACTGCACCAGGAGGGAAATAGAAATAGTGTAAGTTTTCAGTCAAGTTCATAATGTTTAGTTCGAAACGTGAACCGCATTCGAATGCAGTGGAAAACAACAACGAATATTTCAAAAGATTTTTTAAGTTTATTACTTTTATTCTATATTTAGTATGAGGATAGATAAGGTAAGATGTCACAATGTCGTTCAGGATCGTTCAACACTGTTCAGGAAACTTTGGAATATTTACAACAATTATCTGAAAATGATTCAGAAGATGATGATAATGATGGTAGTATTTCGATTTTGAGTAGCGAGGATGAATACCTGCCTGTTAATGAAGAAAATGAAAGTGATGATGACTCTGGCAGTGCCCTAACAATTGCTGGACCTTCTCATCACAGTAATAATGAAAATTTATCAGATAAAAAAGAAATGATAAGAAAAGACACGTGCACTCAAGGAAATCCGAAAAAAAAATGAGCAGTAACATTCAGAATTGTAAATAATGAAGTTGGCAAAGTTGGGACAGTTTGGAATGTCGTACAATTAGGAACAAATGATAAAGGAAGAAAATCAGGAAAATATTTTGAAGGAAGTTGGGGGCCCAACACTACATGCTAAACGCAGAGTTATAGACAACAGTTCATCAAGTGCTTGGAAACTTTTCATAGATGAATGGATATTGAAGCATATAAAAGAAATGCACTGAAGATGAAGCTCATCGACAGATTCATGAAAATATATGGAATATAACAATAGAAGAAATAAATGCTTTTATAGCAATTTTTATATGCATGGGGTATATATTGTGCAAAAGGTCTTGAACAGGATAACTTGTGATCAATAAACTGGGGACCACCATATTTCCGAAATACAATGTCAAGAGACAAATTCTGTGAAATAATGAGATGTTTACGCTTCAACATAAAATCAACGAGATCAAATCTTCTAGAGACAGACAAATTTGCCCTTATGTCTGATATTTGGAATTGTTTCATTCAAAATTGTCAGTCTAACTATACACCAGGTCCTATTGTAACTGTAGATGAACAGTCATTTCCTACAAAAGCTAGGTGTAGATGTACCCAATACATGCAGATACAAACAAAGCAGATAAATTTGGAATCAAATTCTGGTTAGCTGCAGATGTTGACTCAAAGTATCGTATAAATGGATTCCCATATCTTGGAAAAGATAACAAAATTCTCTCCAACGTTTTTCTTTCTGAGCATGTAGTACTGCAACTATTAAGTCCATATGAAAACAAAAGTAGAAATGTCACTACAGATAACATTTTCACAACACTGAAGCTTGCAAAGACATTGAAATCCCCAAACACCAGCCTTGTAAATACTGTAAAATGCTCAAGAAAAGAAAGAATGGTCTCTGTAAAAATGTTAAAATCCACATTGCATGTGACTACGATATTAGCACATAAAGACATGTCTAACTGTGTGTCAAGGGAGAAAAAAATAAAAATGTCTTTTGCTAAGTAGTCTTCATCCAACTGTAGAAATTATAGAAAATCCCCCCCCCAAATTACCTGATACAATTGCTTACTACAACGCAACTAAATTCGGTATGGATGTAATTGACCAAATGGCAAGGATGTATACTGTCAAGTCTGATTCATGCAGGTGGCTGCTGCAGGTGTTTTATAATATTTTGGAACTTGCTGCTATCAATACCTGGGTTTTATACAAAGCTGTACCTGGAAAATCTATTGGCAGATGGCAATTCATTCAAGACTTTGAAGAACTGAGAGAAAAGTTTGTTCTCTCCCTGCAAAAAAAGGTGACATATGAGTGTATGACAACTACTGAAAACGGTGGACAACAAGTTGAGCGTAAATGAGTCCCATGCCACAGTCCAAAATGTGAAAATAAAACCAAGATGTTCAAAATGCAAAACACCCATTTGAGCTAAATGTACAAAACTTATTACTAAATTTTCTGTACAATGCATACAATAAATTTGATTTTAAAAAATCTGTAAAAGTAATAAGTAACTGGTAAAATTTATTTTTTCTCTTTTAAATGATGTACGGTATATACTTGTGTATATGTTTATCCTCCCGACTTTCAAAAAAAATTTTCAGAAAAACAAATTTGTCACACGCGCGCAGCTGTCATCGCCGATTGAAAAGCATGCTGATGTACTTTGTTAAATTACACTCACACTTTAGTGAAATTTTGGTTATTTCCATTTTAGCACATGATAAAATTTTAAAATATGTACAAAATTTTCAAGGAATTTCATTTGAATCCTTCAAATTGTGATTGAAAGTCAGAATCTGCAAATAAATCCTGAAATTCTTTTTTAGTCATTAGTGAGTCATCATAAATTTCATCTCTCGATTCATCACAGCTAATGTAATTATCATCACTTGGATAGATTGCATCATCATCTGTCCATCCAAGTTATTGGAAATGCAACACTTTTTGAATGATTTAATTATTTCAGCTGGGATCATGTCCCAAGCATCTTTCACCTACATGCAATTAAAGTTATGCCCAGCTTTCTAATATTGCCACTTTTGGTTTTAGTAGGCAAATCAGATTGTATCCATTCCACCCAATACTTGTGCATATTCGCCTTGAAAGGCTTATTTATGCTAACATTCAGTGGTTCTAAAATGGATGTCAGCCCTCATGGGATCACAGAAAGTGTTGTTTTTGAACTTTCTGCATGCTTTTTTACAACTTCTGAGCGAATCGGTTGCAACATATCCCAAATGAAAAGTGAAGGTTTCTGTGAAAGTACGCCTTGTTTTTTGCACCATACATAAAAGCAGAGGTTGTTGTCTATCCAACCATTTTCCTGGATGCGAACACCTGCCAGAAATGCTGCCTTTTTCAGTAACGTATTTCACTGAAAAATAATCATTGGACTCAACTTACTGCTTATAAAATGGGAAGAATAAATAAAAATTTTGTGTTTTTTGTGTATGAACAATATCTTTAATAATCAAGTTTGCTGACGTGTCATTGCTAGGTGGTGGTGGATCTTCCCCCCCTTTAAAAGTTCTGCGTATAAGTCGACCCCCTGCTTCGAAGTTTTATTTTTTCCTTAAAGTTGTCAACTTATACACGGGTATATATGGTACTCTGTTTCTTTATCAAAATTAGAAAAAATAAGTTTTATTTGGTTAAAAGACATGTTATTATACGTAAATGATACAATTTTATAAAAATATAGGTAATTTCCGTAGATTTACATAAAATATTTAATGTAAATTTTGAGAAATACTGATCGTTACATAAAAGTATCTTTTAGTTAACTAAAGTAGCCACTTATGCATATTTTTAGGTGTTTTCTATCTATGTTCAAATTGACCCACACAGCATCCCGTCGTTCTAGTGTTAATTAATTTTCTTTTATACAAAACTTAATTGAATCATTTTGCATTCTTAGTAGTATTGATCATGTCTTACTGTACAATAATTAAGTAAATAGTATTTTGTATTCATGTTCTGTGTGTGTGATCGTGAATATGTTTGACATACCAAATGTCAAACATATTCAATATCCAGATTCTGATATGTTGTCCAAAAACTTTTTTTTTAAACCAGACTTATTGAAAAAATTAAGTTATTTGTACCTTTTTATTTATATAATCCATGACATGCATGTTAATATTAAAATTTTTATCTTAGCACTCATATGGTTTTATTCAGTGCTGTGATCGACAAGCAAGACTATTTTTTCATTACAGTCAGTATGCTGGAAACATTGAACATTTAAAACTTGGTGGTAAGTTGTTTATTAATTCATTAGGTTAGAGTAGACTGAAGGGTACCTGTTGCATTATTGTGAAGTTGTTGTTTCATTCATCACCAAGTTGTTGTTTCGTTTATCGCCAAGTCATTCATTTTTATTTCATTTATGGTAACCTGAGTAGTTGAAATTTCCGTAAATGTACATTTTCCTAGAATTGGGTGCTTTGTAAGTGAAAATATATCAATGTGTACATAGGGCAATGTCAAGTTTGTGCAATTCTCTGATTTTTTTTTTTAAGTGAAAATAGGTCAATGTACCACCAAAAATCGTCAATTTTTGCCAAGGGGTATCTGTAAATATGCTTTTACCATTGATTATTTTCTTTGTCTGTGAAAGTTTTACATTTCTGTGAAACCTCCCAAATCATCTAGTTCCGAGAGGAATATTCATAATGCTAGTTGACTTCATTCTACTGCGAAGGTGATTGATTACTTGAGCTGCATTCACACTATAACTTAAAAATCATTAATGTCATAATTGTAAGTTTTAAACATCCCATAGTTAAGTTCAAACTGGAGAAAATACTGGGAGTTAATGTTTTAGCCATGGGAGATAATTCCAGATCCTGCTAAACCTAATTGCATTAGGATATTCTAAATTCCTGTTTTTCATTTTATTCATTTTTATTTATGGCCATGATTTGCAGTGAATCCATTTTTGACATAAGGAAAGTAAGATTTCAGATTCCATTGTCAAACATGATATAAATGCCTATCACAGTAGGTTTTTTTTGGGGGGGGAGGTCACTTTGTTTTGATGTGAATTGTCTTAATGTACTGTAGACATAAAGAGAACTTTACATGAAGATTCAATCAATGTTTAATCAGTTGATATTTGTATTTAATTTTATTTTACTTTAATATATAGTACATTACTAAGTTCCTTCACGCAGTAATATGTGCAATAGTACATGCAGGTGTTTATTTATTGCATGAAATTTGTGAATTTGATAGAAAAATGGCAAATGAAATTAGGTTAAATAAAAACTAAAATTATTAAATTAACACCCTGAATAAGGGAGGACTTTGTTTAAAGTCCTGCCTTATTCAATCCAAACAAGATGAAGTGGTCTATTGGGGCATAGTTGATGTTTGCTTGTATTGCTGATGTTGTTTATGACAGTTAATCCCAAGTACTAAGTTGTTGATGAATCATTGTTGATTGTAATGTGCTCTTTTTGACTGTTTCCATTTCTAGCATTAAACTGTATGCCTTTCTATTTGAAGCTGTTAAGCAGCTGGAGCTGTGATCTTCAAAATATTTTACAGAACCTTAAGATTTTAAAACTCAAAATCAAATTTTAAATATTTTTATTTCTGTTCTTATCGTTACTTCAAATAATGTGAATATCTGTATTTTTTTTACTGAAATTACATTTATTTGCATTTTCTGCGTAAGATTCATGCAGTGTAATCTGCCTTCCTGAAATGATGTTCATTTTGTAGAGATGAGAAGAAGTTTTTGGATTCTCATGGTTGACAAAATAAAGATAAAAAGTTTAAGGAGATATGTTATCTAGTGTGAAGGAGACCACCGATATATTTCCTTCTCAACGTGTGTAGTAAATGCTGGAGGATTGTTTTATGCTAGACAAAATTTTATTTCCTTTGTCCACTTATATATTAGTAACTAGACCAAAAATACACTCAAGATTCATGGCTAAATATGGAGATGTCTTTTTTACCTTGAGTGAGACCCCTTGTAGAGGAATTGTCCATCTATTAGATATATGAAATTTTAAATTATATCTGATATTACATTTGGTTAATGAAATGGATAATCAAATGTAAACACTAGGCAAAGTATTGATACAAAAATGTGACAAATGTTTAATTGGAAGAGGAGAGGAATCATCTCAAATAAAAAAATAAAAGAAATTCATTTTCTTTATTTTATTTTAATTATATTTGTGGAGTGATAAATATTTTGTGGAGTTATTTCTCTAGATTAGCTTTAATTCCTATAATATTAATTAATGCCAATTCCTTTTTCGTTGCTCATTGTTACATGATATGAATATATTATTTTACAAATGTGGAAAGCAATTTTATCATGAAATCTTGATTTTTAAAAATTATATATCCTTTTTGAAGTGTTTATGTGATTAAAGATAATGCTAATAAAATGTCACTGAAAATAAACTGAGGTATTAGGCCTTTATTCAGAAGCAAATTTGATGTATTTTAAATTATTGTAAAGAGTTGGCATCTAGCTAACCACCAGTTATGTTAGTATTTTAAAGCTGAAAGAAAAAAATTCGCATTTTTAGTTATGCGATTTGGATGTATGACATCTACCATTATTCTTTGATGATTATATAATGTGAATACTGTGGTGAAATTAATTACAGAATTCTTTTCCCTTTGTTTCCATCTATTTTTATTGTGCAGCAATAAATTATATTCTTTGATGTAATAAAGCTTTTATGTATTAAGTTCTGATTTCCTGATTTCTATTGTTAGATGCAGTAGAATTTGAAATGACATATGATCGACGTACAGGAAAACCAATAGCTAGCGCAGTGTGGAAAATTACATCAGAGGTGGATAAAATGGAAGAACGTGTTTTTGGTTTCATAACTACTGAAATAAAGGATAATAGAGAGGTATATACCATTTATATTTGTATACATAATTATACTGACAGTTTTTAATCTTCCAAATAAAAAAATATTTAATGCTTATAAGGATTTTTGGTCTGAAAATTATTTTAAAAATGCATAAATATACAAACCTGGATGGTTTAAAAAATTTTATATTTTGTATCCTTTTGTTGTATTCATGTTTTTAAGAATATTTAAAATTAAATGTGATTAATAAATTTACTATGCTTTTTAATAGGTTAAACTAAGAAAATAATGTATTTTGATAAAATTTTCATTTGTTAGGTTTATTGACTTTAATAAACTCATATTTTTATATCTTTGTTTTGACATGATATAAGAGCAGGAAAAATTAAATGAACAATTATAAAATAATCAAAATCGCAATAACAACTTTGTATTTCGCGTACATTTATTAAGACAATTGATTTTTAGGGCAGCTACGGGTCCCTCCTCATCAGGAGAACGAAATTACTAGAAAGAGAAAGCAACCTCTCTGTAACGATTTTTTATACCCTGTGGTAGTACCATGTGTGAGGAGGCAACGCCATCTATCGGCAAAAATAACAACCAAGAATTGTGTTAATAGAATTTTAAAAGCGTTAGGAAGGACTAGATTGGACTTAAAATCATTCACAAAATATGCTAAATCTTTGTGAATATGAAAAGCCTCAAGAAAATCCAATTCACCAACGGAAGAAGCTTTTTGGATAATATTTGCAGATCCAAAGTCAAAATTATTATTAAATTTCCAACTGTGATATGCTATTGAAGACTTGTTAACACATTGACTGCCAGTCACTAGAGTTAGATTGATAGTTATTGCCACCCATATGGATGTAAATTGTATCCAGATGCCAACATACTTATAAGAAGTATGATTTAAAAATATTAATAAAAGATAATTATGTGATCCTTAAGTATTATTTAAGCCTTTTATTAAAGAATTTTTTAATTACGTGCCAGTGCGTGATTGGCACTACATGTCAAAATTTTCCCCAAATGCTACATTATGCGTTGGCGCGTGGAATGCAAAAAGTTAATTTAAATAAGAAAAATAAGTGACAGTACGCATTATTTTTATATCAATATGTATTACAGACAATTATACATATTACAAAGGAATTTATAACAAGAAAATTACAAAGACATTATACAGATACATCTAGCATGTTATTTGTGTATTATCTTTGAACAATCTAAGCAGTACCCGGGAGATCCTTGACAAAATTTGCAAACATATATTGTATCTTTACGTTTCTCTTGGGAATAGCAACTTTTGCATTGCTTTCTTAGAATTTTTCCATCTTTTTTTTCTTCCCGTGTACTCAGCACATGTTCAGATTCAGACTGATCACACACAGGAGCACGAAGAACAGATGGCTGTTTTAGTAAACTTCGTATCACGGATAAACGGTAGTCATACAGTGATGTATTTTCATTGGAGTACTTATTATAGATAAAGTGGGAATTGTTCATCATTATTTGCAAAATATGACAAATATTTTCGTGGGCCACCTAATTGTTTTTCTCTCATAAGGATAATAAGCAAGCATCTGATCTTGCTTATCAATACCGGCCATAAATTTATTATATTGAATTACAGGTAGAGGTTTCGATTTAATTTCACCTCTTTTGTTTGTTATTTCCACCATATCATTTTTATATTCATTGGAAATGTAAGTGATGTCTCTCTTATCCTGCCACTTTGCAATCATCACACCATTAGCATACTTTGCTACAATTTGCGCTTTCTTCAGTTTTTTTTTTTTTTTTTTTTTTTTTTTTTTTTCCTTTACCTCTTTTGGAAATGTCTTTCTTTTCTTTCTGATTGTCCCAGTGCAATGAGTTTTCCTATCAGCAAGACATTTTGTCAGTTCATGGCTGTTATAATAATTGTCCATAAATATGCTATGTCCTACATCCAGCATTCCCTCGAGGACATTCATAACGACTTTTTTTTCGTGTTCTTTTCCGCCAGAATCATCCATCATGCCTGTATATATCATAAATTTCAGAACCATACCATCAGGAGTTGTGATCATGTACAACTTGATACCATATTTGTGACATTTATTTGGAATATACTGTCTGAATATAAGCCGTCCACGCCACAATACCATTGATTCATCTAAACTAATCTCATGCCCTGGGTAATATATTTCAGATACTCGTGTGTTGAACAAATTAATTCACCATATCTCTTACTTTATACAGTTGATCCTTTGGAAGCTCTGTATTCTGATCTGGGATTTTTGTGCAATGTCCAATTTTGTGTAATATTCTGGGAGTGCAATGCCCTCAGTAACAACAAAAACTGATTCTTGCTCATATTTTCTGAAAATACACGTAAACCAAACAGTGAATCTGTTTTCCAGTAATCTTGTATACGGTTGATTCATATAGTTCCCATATGTATGATCAATCCCACAAATGCCAAGAGTTCCTCTTTTGTGGTGCTCTTCCAAGCATCGATGCGAGAATGTTTCTTTTTTTCCTTGTGAAAAAGTACTTTATAAGCATAATCATTAGTTTCAGCAACTGTTTCTTCCAAAATACGATCAGTGAAAAAATGACGAAGGAAATCTCTAGGATTGTTACCTGAAACAGGTTGGAGCAAACACTCAGATTTTATGAAAGGAAATTTTTTCATTGATGTTGAATCATTTTCCCAAATAACGTTTTCTACCATAGTTGAATCATCCTGCTGACATGCAGACTCTTGCACGATTCGTTCTTCATCATCATCAGAATCCGAAATATCATGGGTACCTGTCGGAGGAATGCATTCTTTGTCACTGTCATAACTAAAATCGCTCGGGTACTCATCTGATAGCTCAGCCAACAAATTTGCTATTTCATCATCCGTAAGAGCCTTTTTATATTGAACTTTTCTTTTTTCGGGCGCAAAGGCCCTGCACTATCATCTCTATAACTCATACTAAAAGTTTATTTTTTCAATAAAAAATAAAACAATAATTTCAAAATCGCGATTCAATAAAAAATAAAACAATAATTTCAAAATCGCGATTATTTATACATAGTTTCTAATTTTCACTCCATGCCAATACCAGAAGAAATGCCCTTCATGCAATGCCAAATTGAACTGGAGAATGAATAACAAGTATAGGATTTTCTCACGCCAGCACGTGACTGGCTGCTGAGACATCACCCCACATCACGCGTTGGCGCGTGATTGGCTCCTTGCTAATAACAAAACGTCACGCGCTGGCGCGTGATTGGCAATCAGTGTGTTAATATAAATTAATAGTTTATTCATAATCTCCTGTTGTTAACATTTATGCAAAGTGGCTAAATGATGGTGAAATCAGCAGTAGATATCATGGTGTTGGATATCCACGCGTCATCAAGGAAAAAGAATGTCGATGACTGTCCTGCTTGGTACAGCAAAATCGGCACCATACAGTGTCTCAGCCGGCAGCCCAATGTAATGCAGGCCCAAGTGCAAGTATTTTGGAACACGCACTTCAGTCGGCACTGTTGCATATGGGGCTGTGCACCGTGTGCCTCTGTTGACCAAGCGTCATTGTCAACCTTGGCTACAATGGGCCCAGGAACATAAAGAATTAGACCATGGATAAGTAGAAGATAGTTACCTGGTCGAATGAATCTCAATTTCTCATTTACCATGTCGATAGTTGTGTCTAGGTATGCTGTCTTCCAGATGCATTACCGTGACACACTCACAACTGGCAACTTCCCTATCCCGACACTCGCATAACTGGCAACTTCCAACAGTTGCCACCCACTCCTTTACAGCAGGTCATACACAGGCTGGTGGTTGCAGTTTTATGCTGTGGGGGATGTTCTCGTGGGTGGGTCTGCGACCCATAGTTCTGGAAGAACAGAATATAAAAGCTGCAGACTATGAACATAATTGCAGATTAGTTGCACCCTTACATGACATCTTATCTTCCCAACTGGAAATGGAACCTTCGAGCAAGACAAAGCTCCATATCAGAAGGCATGAATTGTGTAAACAGTGGTTCAAGGAGCATAAGGATGAATTCCAATTAATGTCCTGATCACCTAATTTGCCAGATCTTAACCCAATAGCGCACATTTGGGATGTCATTGAGTGGTAGCTAAGAGTTCGCACACCACCATGTCGGAATATCTCAACTTTGCATGGCTGCTACTTAGACATTTTGTACAACTACCAAGAGCTTGTGGCATCCTTGCCAAGGTGAGTTGCAGCTGTTTTGCAGGCCAAAGGTTGCACAACACGTTATTGAGTAGGTTTTCGTAATGTTTTAGCCCTTCAGTGTATAACCATATGTCAGCAGTTGTTAGATACTATTATTATTCATATTTTCTTATAGTTAATATGACCGATCAGATCGTTAACATTTTAAATGGTACTAGGTTGAATATTATTACTATTAAAATCCTAGTATCAAGTTTATTGTTACCTAGAGCCTAATGTATTTGTACCAAGATGTATAATGTATATATGATAAATATATTAAATATTGCATTTGGATAAAATCTGAAGAACCAAAGTGTATATTTTGTTAGTTCATTCTTTTACCACTCCTTCGGGCGCAATATGTTTCGGAACTCGTTTGAGCGCCTTGAGCCTGAGAGGCACTTTTGATTTACTAAACTTTTTTATACATAAAAAGTTTTTTCTTACAAAAATCAAATGCTATCCATTATTATTAAACTTCCACAAGTTATAAAAATACTTAAGGGACAATAAAACAGTTCTTATAGTCTTAAAAGGAAACTATATTAAACAAATTTTGCAAAATAACTTTTAAAAAGTTGTGGTACAAGACTAATTGTAGATTTAAATTGAATTAAAACTAACACATAAGTATAATCTCTTATTAATTTGATTCATTAGGAGAAATCTATCCTTCCACTTCTCTCTTATGGCACGGAGGACATATGAAAGCAGGCTATGAGAGGCAGGTTGCTGTGTGACACTTTTTGCACTCGTATTAGTTTAATCTTTTATTTGTGTTTTATTCCTTAATATGGGACTTCTCATGGGCACTGAAATGAAGCTTAGCCTAATTTAAATAATTTAGTCTTTTAAAAAATAGTATTACAATTCTTGTTTGCCTGTATATAAGTTGAGTAATACACTTTTTGGATGATAAAATTTACATTCAAAATATGAAATTGTTAATTTTAATTTAGGGCAGAGTTGCATATGAAAGCCGTGGTGAATGCTTCTTTTTACCTTACTATGCTGAAGATATTGATGGAAATGTTGAACTCCACCCTCAAGATAAAGTTACATTTAGACTGGCAACTGACAAAAATACTGGAAATTTAAGAGCTCATAATATACGATTAGAAAAACCATTACCTGCACGCTACCAGGGTGTAATTTGTGCTTTGAAAGAAACATTTGGATTTATTGAAAGGGCAGATGTAGTTAAAGAGGTATGTTGTGAATGTAATCTGTGATGAAATCTTCATGCTTATTTTGTTTTTATGTGTTTATTAATGTGATATTTTAAAATTTTTTTAAGATTTTCTTTCATTCGAGTGAATGTAAATCCTTCAGAAATCTGAGTTTAGGAGATGATGTTGAATTTAGCATTCAAACAAGGAATGTAAGTTTTTATATGTCATTCACAATTTTAGTATTTAGTTGTATTTATAATTTATGCCTAATACTTTTAGATTTTCTGGTTAAAAGTGTGAATAATTGATTCAGTGTAATTTTAATTTAGATTTATTTTTAGTGATTTACTAAATGGATGTTTTAATTTTGAAAAAAATGCTTCAGTATTTATCGAAATCAAATTTGAGAATATCAAATTTGCAGTTTGTTTATGATATATGTTTTAATAAAGAAAAAATTGTGTTAATATATTTTAGATTTTAAATTTTGTCTAATTTGCAATTTATGATGTTTGTGCTTTATTGTTTTTTAATATTTGTAAAAATCATTATTTTATGTCTATCATTAATGCATTCAATCATTTGAAAATTTTCTGAAAAAATTGAACAATCCATATATAATCAACATTATGTACCAAGTATATTTTTAGCAGATATACTCGGTAAAGTATACATTATTTTTAAAAAATCCAGAGAAATTTTTGTTTGCCTTTATTCCATATTTTTTTTTAAATATTTGAAAGTGCCTTTCATTAACCCTTTGCGGTTCAGTGTTCCACTACATGGAACACCCAAATTGAATCGCTTCTGAAACCTTTAAATTTAACCGTAAATAGATAAAAATGCCTTTATAATATACTTTGAACTTTTCTTTTTAAACAGTAGATAGCAACATATCACAAGGAGACACAGAATTTTCATTTATTATGTGTTATTAAAATCCACTTTTTCAAGTAATTTTCTATATTTTTTAATGATATAAATAATTTTATTTGGAAAAAAATAGGCATAATTTTGCTGGCTGTACTCCAAATTATTGTTCTATATTTTTTTAATCTTTCATACAAAAACCATATCAAATAATTGATGAAACCAGGGTTCCATTAGCGGGAACACTGCGCCTTTAGCGATCTCATGCTGTTCGAATCAAACATGTTGCTTAGGAGAGACAATCTGTTGTTTACGTTTTCTGTTTCCGTTGTTTGGGGGGGGGAATGAATTCAAACAAAGCAGTATTGAGGGGTGATATGTGTTTTGTGTTATCAAAGCCCTAATATTGGAATCTCGAATTTTTTGGGAGTAGTTTTTAGGCGGGAATTTTATTAGTAGCTTGACTCATTTTTACTTATACCTGCGGGAATTTTTTGCTGTCACATTTTAGCCTCGTTCCGGTTTATTTTCAATAATTGTGTAGATATTTTTCGTGTATGTACGTAGCGTATTCGGAAACTAAGTACCGTTTCATTTTAGTGCCGTCGCAGCGCTGTGGTAGGCGTCCCGCGTATGCGCACTAGTCTTTCTTGTTCACTGACTTTCAATTGTCGCCAGTTTAGTTGCTCTATGTTGTGTCTTCAGTTTGCTGTGCACATTCAAAATGTTTAAGGCAATTAGTTCTCCCACTGACTGTAAGATTTGTGCCGTGATTAAATTTTTGAACACGAGGAATGTTAAACCAGCCGAAATTTATCGTCAAGTGACAGAAGTTTTTACGGTGAAAGCGATAAGGATGGAAGGTGAGAAAGTGGGTAAGATAGTGGTCGGCCTTCTGTTGTCACCGATGTTTGGTAAGGAAGTTGATGAAGCAATTCATGAGAACAGACGCTTCACAATGACAACTCTTTCAGAGGCATTTCCACAAATTCATGTACTGTTTTGTTCGAAAATGTGTCTGACCGCTCGAATTATCGCAAACTGTGTTCCGATGTTTCCAAAATGCTCGCGATGTTCACAAAAAAGCGACTTGGTAGTGCCCTGATATTTCTCACACGGTAGTGATGAGGAAGAAAACTTTTTAAACCAATTGTGACATGTGATGAAACTTGGGTGTGTCATTTCACCCAGAATCGAAACGACAATCGATAGGTGGAGACACACTCATTCTCCAAAAAACAAAAGTTTCAAATGACAATGTCATCACAAAAATCAGTGCACTGTCTTCTGGGATAGGAAAGGCGTTTTGCTTACTGAATTTCTCCAGAGGTGAAACATTAATGCGGCACGATATTGTGAGACTTAACAAAACAAGGCGTCCATTCAAACAAACGAAGAGGAATGCTGATAAAGAATTGTGTTGCTCCAGACAATCTTGGCCCATACTGCTGGTGTCACTCTCATTAATTCGACAGTTTCATTGGACAGTTCGATCACCCGCCTTACACCCGGATTGGCGCGTCCGACTATCACTTGTTCCTGCACATGAAGCGCGAGCTTGGTGCAAGCGCTTTGGATCGACGATGACACGAAAATGCTGTGGAGTCGTGGTTATCGAACTGGCGGAAGTTTCTTTGACATGTATACAAAACTGGTCACCCGCTATGACAAGTGTTTGATCATTGTGGAAACTATGTGAAAAATAGTTTAAGACATGCATTTTCATGTAAAATAAAATTGGATTCGAAAAATTGTTTTAACTTTTTTTTTTCAAACGATACTTAGTTTCCGAACACGCCTCGATATATTATAGGATTTTTTCTTTATTGTAATATTAATCGTAGTAAAATTTTTTTATTATTTTTTTCCATAAATGGCACAGAAAGGTCTAACTCTTCCGAAAATTTGTAAATATTTTTGTATATAGGCTTGTGATATAGATATTTATCTTATTATCTGTAGATTCAAGAAAATTGTGTATATCCAGGAAACCATGTATACAGCCATAATACAGAGTTTTTTAATTCTTTTACAAATGCTTCTACTCATTTTTGTGCTTCACTGCAACGCTCGCTTAGTCGCACTTTTAAAAGCTCTGGCGGCGCAGTGTTCCACCTCAACACCCACAGAATTGAAACGCTAAGTGAAATTTTTACAAAATTTTACCTGTATACTCCTTCAGAACTAAATAGATTGCATACAACTTTTTTTGTCTAAATTCCGACGTTAACATATAGTGCGCCGCAAAGGGTTAAAGAACAGTTTTTATTATTTCTGTAAGTTTCTATTTTTAGAACATTTTATAAAATATGATTAAACATAGTTCTTTGATTGAAATTGATTGAAAATCATGAATTGAGTGTTAAGATGCATTTTTAAAAAAATTAGAATAAAGAAGTTGCTGTAAATGTAGTAACACTACCAGAGGGAACAGTGGTTTTTGAAGATGTAAACCCTGAAATTCTGGTTGGTGAAATAACTGAAGCATTAGAAAAAGGAAGAAATCGATCTAGTGATGCTTTTCCTGGAAAGATTCAGTGTCAGTTGAATGATGGGTAAGTCTTCTTTTGATCTAAAACTAGTAACATAATCCTGCTTGAATTATTAGAAAAATAAAAACTTAATTTCTTTTAGTGTTATATATTACTCATTTGGAGATCGTGATCCAAAAGCCGATTATACATTGCAAGTTGGAGACTGGGTTAAGTTCAATATAGCAACAGATCGTAGAGATAATCTTCAAAGAGCTACTAATATCGAACTTCTCATCAATGAACTGACATTTTCAAAAGAAAAAAGAGAACAGGCAAGTTTATTTTCATGAATCAACTTGAAATGTAAATAATGTCCTTTTGTGTGTATAATATCTACATTATTATTTTTTAATGTAATGAGTATAGATAGCTTTCTGATAATTCCATATCAAGTGGTTAACCATAACAGCACATGTGTGTTTGTAAGACAGTAACTATTTATCCCAAGTTCAGTATTGAAAAAATTATACAGTGAGTTGATTATAAACAAAAAGAAGTTTCGTAGGTATTAGAGGCATCTACTTTAATATTTATTGGGTCATCAGGAAAGTTCTTGATGATAAATACAAATGAAGAAATACAAAACTGTGTGGAAATTTCATTGAATCACATAAGCACCATTTTATTCTGAGACTTTTTACTATTTCACTGGCAACTAGGAAATTCCTTTTATTATATTTTTAATAAAAATGTTCATTCGTAAAGAAATTATTGTGGTGCTCTTTGACAGTTTCGAAAGAAGTGAACTTAAACCCATTCAGATAATTTTAAAGTGACATGAAAAGATGAAAATCTGAGAAGGTTAAAGTGGGTGGGGAGGTGACAGAGGATATTCCCCTCATACTCAAGTCTTTGACCAGTGTTCATTGAAATGTGGGGCTGAGCATTGTCATGATGGAAGACAATCCAATGACGATTGGTCAGTTATAGGCACTTAACTTCAGTTTATGCCATATGGGAGCAGTATTTTTCCAAATTTATTTTTTGATTTGGTGACAATAATACATAGTATGCAATTCTTTTGTAGTCCCACCATACAAGAAGCATTTTACATTTTTGAGATGCAGTCCTTCTTTCAGTGTTACTAAAGGGGACTCATTTGGCTAACCGCGTGATCTTTTTTCTTGTAACGTTATTGTGTAGCATTTACTTCTGCACAGAAATAAGTATATTTGAGTAAACATTTTTATTTTATTATGTACAGAGTGTTTTGAAAAATTAATAATAAATTAATTATTAAATTTTAATATTATGCTTTGGTATATTATGTTTTATGCTGAAAAATACTGACTAGAGTGTAAAATTTCTCCCACATCCCTATAAATACCTCCAAAAGAGACAGATAAGAAAGTGAAATATGTTTCCTTTCAAGATTTATCAGTTCGTTCATTTATACCAACTGATAAATCTTGAAAGGTGCACTAATAATTAGAAGTGCTGGATAATAAATTAACTTTTTCATTTAAGTTCTTTTCAGATGAAATAATTTCAATCTCAACACTGGGGCTTATGGTTAAGTATATTTGAATCACATTTTAAGGGCTATGTATCATTTTTCAATAATATATGTTATAGTTTAGAAATACTGGCTACATAATCTATTTTGTGATGTTAGTATCTGTGATATTAATGGCTTAAATTTAACATTTGAATATAAACCTGAATAATAAATAAAATTGATAAGCTCAATCTATAAGTTCTAACATTATAAATTTAATAATATTTGTGTTTTAAGTATTTCATATAAATATGAATTAAATAATTGTTGTTTATTATATATTATATTTGTTTAAATGAAATTTTGTTGTACAGAAGTCTTGCATAGACTTTTATTCTTCTAAAATTTAACATTGTTCTGGTTTTCTGCAGCCAATTTTTACATTAATTATGACTAAATTAATCTTTTTCATTAAAAATATTTTCATTGGCTTTATGAATATTTTATTGAATGTGATTTTTTCTTTTAAAATAATAATTGTAATTACTCTCTAGGGATTTGTTACAGCAGTAAAAGAGACCTTTGGCTTTATTACATATGGACAGCGAGATGTTCGTTTATATTTCCGTCTTAGTGAGCTGATAAATCCTGAAGAATCTATCAAACCTCAAGATGAAGTTGAATTCACAGTGGCTCAGGTAAAATAAAGATCTTTTCAGCATTGTTGCAGCATCACTCACATAATTGTAATTGGCGATATGGGTCAATGATCTATGAAGTAATCTTGGCTGATATATTTTCAAACCTAAACATTGCATCAGATGCCCCAAAGATCTTTATCTATCTATAAATAGCGTTGCAATTTGCTGTGCCACTTGCTACAAATTGCATTTAGCAATTTATGCTTCACTGAATTCCTACAAATTGTTTAAAAAATATACTGCCAGATTTGCTTTAAATGCTGATGCAAAATTGAGGCTTAGTGCCAGACTGCAACAAAAACCGGATTTTAGTAAATTCTTAAAAATAAATAAATAAATAAGTGTTCTGGACCAAACTAGGAATTATTTTTTCCTCTAATGTACAAAATTAAGTCAAATTGTGGTTTTGCAAAACTGTGAATGCTAATTCAGTGCATATTCCGATTTTTTTTTTTTTTTTCTGTTATTATATCTTGCACAGCAGAAATGATAATCTTACTCATGTCACTCTCTAGTTTCCTTCCCTTTCTGTTATATTTCATGTGGAAGCATAGTGTTTCTCTCTTTTTTACAAATAATACTAATACAGGGCAGTGCTAAAGTAGATATACAGTTGTAATAGCTCTTTTTATGTATATATAAATAGTTATATAGTATGTAATGGTTATTAATAGTTATGTATTATATAATCAGGGTGATATAGGAATTACAATTAAGTGCAATTTCTGAGGTTCTCAAATTACCACCTTCAGCATTTAAACATTCTTGCAGTCTGGTTTCTATACTTAAGCACACTTTGTCACATATATATTTTTATTGTTATTAATTTCTTGGCTCACTTTTCCTGAAATTAGTCATGTCATCAGTCGTCTTCTTGCATTCAGCATTACCTCACATAATTGTAATCGGCGATATGGATTAACTTTTAATGATCTATGAAGTAATCTTGGCTGATATATTTTCAAACCTAAACATTGCTTCAGATGCCCCAAAGATCTACAGGAACTTTCTAACCTAGATGATGCTGTCGCCTCCTCCAGTTATAATATCTATTATAACTGTATACCTACTTTTTCACCACCTCTCTATTTGCTTAATATCTTCTAAGAAATTAAGGAAAATTAATCTAGTTAATCGAATTGCTTTGATGAACCAAATATCATATGATGGATATGTGAGGGAGGGATTGAAGCTCTGATATAGTGTACAGTTTAACTTTTCATAACTTTAATAAAGTTAATTTTAATAATAATAACTTTAATAAAGTTAATAATTTAATAAATATTTTTATTCGTATTTTAAATTATTTATGCATTGCAATCTAAAATAATTCCAGAAATGATTTTGTTTTGGTGTGTGTTGTGTTTTAGTTTGAAGATTATTTCTGTAGAAAATTATATATCTTAAAATGCATGTAAAAATTATATGAAATATACAGGGGTTGGACAAAAATATGGAAACACCTTTAAAAAAACATGTTTCTTTGCTTAATATGGTGTAGGAAACCCGTTGGCATCCAAAACAGCTTGCAGTCTTCTCAGAATGGATAAATACAGTTCCTGTATGTTTGCCAAGGGAATATTATACCATTCTTCCTGCAAAACGGTGGCAAGTTCAGATAACGATGTTGGGGGTGGATAACGAGAACGCACTTTTCGTTCCAATGTAGACCACAAAGGTTCGATAATATTCAGGTCTGGTGACTGTGGTGGCCAGGGGAGAGGGGACAACTCATCCTCGTGCTCAGAAAACCAGTCCTGGACAATGTGAGCTGTGTGACAAGGGGGCTTTGTCGTCTTGGAAGACACCATCACCATCGGGGAACAAAGTTTGTACCATGGGATGAACTTGATCGGCCAAAATGTTCACATAAGTCTTGGCAGTCATGTGCCCTGACACAGTTATCATGGGGCTAGCAGAGAACCAAGATATGGCTGCCCAAACCATAACAGAACCCCCGCCATGTTTCACTCTTGGCAACAAGCAGTCTGTATTAAAGGCTTGAGATGGCGTTCTCCAGACGTAAATTCGGCCAGAAGTGGGAAACAATGTGAAAGAAGACTCGTCAGACCATATTACTCGCTTCCACTGCTCTATAGTCCAGGCTTTATGACTTAACACCACCTTTTCCTGTTACGGGCATTAGCATCACTGATGAGTGGCTTCTCAATTGCAGCACGGCCAGAAATTCCCTGTTTATGAAGCTCCCTTCTAATCGTTTTGGTACTCACAGGGTTCGGTAACACAACATTCATTTCAGCAGTAACTTTTGCAGCTGTGGTCTTCTTATTTTTCGTCACAATTGCTCTTGATGATCGTCTGTCACGATCACTCAGGACACACTTTCGTCCGTGCTGTGATTTATCAGATGATGTTTTTCTGCTTATCAAATATGCGGAATAAATCTTCGATACAGTACCTCTTGAAACACTAAACACCTCGGCTACCTTGCTTACGGAAGCACCTACCATACATGCTCCAACAATTTGCCCACGTTCAAAGTCTGTTAATTCTGACATAATGCAATGACAACCTCACATAACAGTACCCCGACAACAACTGAACTGTTTAGCACATTTACGAAGTTGTGTAGGTGGCATCAGTTGTCAACGTCAGCGCCACCTACATATTTCATTAAAATCAATCTTTCTTTTCAAACATGCATTTCACAAGTCGTTTCCATATTTTTGTCCATCCACTGTATTTATTTCCTCTGGTACATGGTAACACAGTGCAAAGTCTGAGATTTGGACTAGGGACTTTGGTGATTCCAAATCTGGTTTTTAATATTAGATCATCGGTTTAAGTCTAGTAAGATGATATGTAGAAATTATTAAATTAAAAATGGGAAATATGGGTTTGTGAAGTAATGAAGCATTTATGACCTTGAGGGAATCAATATTTATTTGTTTACTTTTTAAACATTTCTTTTAGTATGATTTGTTTAAGTTGCTTTGTTTCAGGGCTAGTACTTTCCCTTCTATATATCAACATAATTTCTTGTTCAGTTACAAAGTTTCATTGTTCACATTCTGTAGTTGCTGTATTGAGAATTCCCCGTAAATTATCAATCGAAATTTTTCAACCTCAGTAAGATTAAAGTCGGGAAATTTGGCTGGCTTATCAATTCGGTGAATATCCTCGCTTCTGAGATAGTCTTCAACCAGGTGGTTCCTATGTGGTCGGGTATTGTTGTCCATAAAAATGAACTCAGAACCAACAACATCCTTGAAAAGTAACACGTAGAAGTCTATAGTCTCCTGCCTGTATCTCTGGGTATCTTGCATGATCCTTGCTCAGACCATCACTCCTCCGCCACCATATTGGTCCTTTTCCATGATGTTGCTTGGGATGGTATTTGGTGTCAAGTGCCATCCATATCACTAATCACTGAGAATCTTGTAGACTGAATCTGGACTCATTGGTGAAGAGAACATTAGCCCATTAAAGCTCTGTCCATTGTTGGTATTGTATGCAACATTGTAAATGCTCTGTTTTGTGGGAGTGAGTGGGATAAAAGTAACATATTTTTTGGCATGTAGTCTTGTCTCATGGAGCCTTCTGGCATCTGTCTTCCGTGAAACTGATATTCCTGTGGCAGTAGCAAGGTCACGAGACAGTTGTATAGCTGTAGATGTCCTCTGGCACTTGCCTGAAAGTACCAAATGCCAGTCATCATTGGTCGTTATGGCTCTCAGGTGATCTTGTCTTGGCTATTCTGGATACTGTCTCGCAGTTTTTAAACCGATTCACAAATTAGAGATGACACTTGTTGTTACATCCAGTTTCCTTGCAACCCGAGCTTCGGACTGCCCTACCTCAAGCCTACCCATAATTCTTCGCATGTCTTCGTCTAAGAGATGATATATACTCATTTCACCTAAAACACAGCAAAAAAAAAACAACAAGATTATACCAAGAAAGATAATAAAAATGAATGAGCTAAGCAGCTGGATGCAGACTTTTGTATCTCGTAGAATGGATTAAAACATGTAGAAAAAATTTCTTTCAAAAAACAGTTGCTGCTATTTCTGAAGTCTAGACTTTAAATCATTCCGAATATTGGACATCTGGATTTTTGGACTTTGAATTGTATTTATTTCTGGCTTTTTTTTAAACATCATGTGTAAATACTGATAAGATAATTATGTGTTTCTTTACATCATGATAACTCTTTATGGAAACTTCAAAAAGCTTATGTTTATGTAAATTTATAATTGTAAATTGTATTCTGATGTATTGCTGAACTTAAAATAAATTTACATTCATATGCAATTATTTGCTTAATCCTGCTGCATTTTTTTTCTCATGCTGTGATATATGTAAATAAAATAAAAATAAAAAGTTGTATTTAAAAAAAAGTAAGATAAAACAGAGATAAGTTTGAGCCTTTTCTGTGCAATATATTTTGAAGGTCAAGTATTAACTTTATGTTTCTGCATTTTAGGATCCATCCTCTCCTGGTCGATGCCATGCAATTCGTATTAGAGTACTGCCTCCTGGCACAATAGATGTTTCTTCTTCTGTGAATGGATCTCTTAAAAATGAAGATCATAGCTGTGATGACAGCATATTTGTTGGAGTAGTTGAAAGAGAACCTGCATCTCGTTGGTCTACGGATAGCCCTCAAAAGATTAATAAAAAATCTCATGATGAAGAAAATGGTTTTGATGAAGCTTCTGATGAAGGTTTGATCACATTTAATAGAAATGGCGTGAAAGAAAAAGCATCTTATAATCTCCAAGACTGTGAACATCGAACTCATCCTCGAACTGGAGATAGGGTTGAGTATTATATATTTTTTCAACAACTTTCACAGTTTTCCCCCCACATCTTTTTTAAAAATCCTTTTTCCTTTTTTACTGTACATCTGAATTTATTTAACAATTTACAAGATATTGATGATTAATATTATATTTTATAACATTGTTATTTAAAAAATGGTAATCATGTGGTGTGACAAAACAGAATAACAGATTTATACAGTGCTTGGAACTATATTTTATTTTTATTTTTTTTTTATCTTTCTCTCATCTTTAAAATTAAATTCATTTCTGAAGAAGTCCTTTTATAAGCATTACATATGATTAGCTTATTTATCACTGTTATTCAAAAGAATTTATAGCAATTTCACACAGAATATTAAGATGTTATGGAACTACTCTTAACAACAGTTTGCGTAGCTAAGCAGCTCCCAAACTTTTTGATTTCTAGTCCTTTTTAGAATCAATTTTTATGGCTGAGGAGCTTAGGACTATCCTATGTTTTTTATATTAATGGTGTTTAGGAGTAGTATTATTGAAAGAAAAAATCTGATGTGTACACCACATGACTTCCTTGCACGGAATATTAAATTATACGCATTTTTTTCTTGCATTTCATTTAAACTTATTGGATTGAATTAAATCTACTTCACCGACAGCGCATAAACCACAATAGAATAGGTGCATTCTTTAAAATTCACTCTAGTATTTGTACAATAGCGACACTCTGGCGCCAGATTCACATAACAGTATTATATTTCGTTCATATTATAACTCATAATGCACAAAATTTATATCATTTAAAGAATAGAATTATCTAATCGTTGCCACATGTTCTATTCAAATACTATAATAAAGCTAGAATGATGTATAAAAGAAATTAAGCAAACAAAATAAAAAAGAAACAGTTTTTCACAGCCCATTGAGTATTTCTCATTCAATTAATTCAGTTCTCACTTCGCGAGAATGAAAAAATACATAAAAACTCAAAATATCTATATTAAAAATTACGAAGTAAATCTTAAACACTTATTTCCTCGAAAAAATTCCTGAAAGGACTAAGCATGATTTAATTGGCAATAATAAATGAAGGCATTATCTTTGTTGTTGCGAAGCTAAGTTTCTCTAGATTGGCAACAAATCCACTAGTCTGCTGTTTCAAATGTAAACAATCAATGGCCGCCGTAAAAAAAAAAAAAAGGCTTAGTGGCACTTAAACAACTTTAAAATTGTTGATAATTCTAAAAATATTGCACACAGATTTACTAAAGGCACAAAAACCTTAACCGGAAGATAAAAAAACAACGTAATTCAATCATTTTTAAAGCAAAAAATGTACAATTTACAAACATATAAGAGTAAAGAAACTGAGATCACTGAGCCGGGTAACAGAGTGGATATATATATATAAAATATATTTATATATGTGTTTGGTGTGGCTGATTGCAACCAAAATACGAGGTACACATCTACATGTTATAGTAGTCCTATATACAAAATTTCAACGTTCTGAGGCTACTTGTTTTTGCCCTTCAGGGGATCATCATCTTGGTGAGATGGTTGTCACGATCCTGGAGTCCCAGTGATCTATCCTCTTTTCCGTCTCCTCTCCTCTTGACTGGAATCTTTTTCCCTTCCCTTCTCCGCCCTCAGGGGCTCACTTTAGTGAGTATGGGTGTGGCAATCCCGAGGTACCCTAGCCCTTCAGGGGATCATCTTCTTGATGAGATGGGTGTCACGATCCTGGAGCCCCAGTGATCTATCCTCTTTTCCGTCTCCTCTCCTCTTGGCTGGAACTTTTTCCCTTCCCTTCTCCCTCGTGGTTTCTCTCTACGGAGTTTGGGGCTCGTCACGAGAGACTGGAGCAGCTCTTGTCTCTAGTTTTCGAGTGGCGAGAAAACTGCCCACGTGTTTGCCGTGCGGGGAGACCCGTGTTGCTGGAAAGGAGGGTCCTGGTAGTTGAGGGGCGAGGTACTGTCCCCAACACACTGGCCTCTGCTTCAGCTAAACGGGAGGCACCTTAGTTGTCCTCACAGGTGTCAATCGGCTGGTCACTAGTCCTTGTGTCAGTGGCTTGGGGTCAAGCTTTTGGGAGTACCTGCTTTCAGGAAAGCCAACTGTGGGGTTTCAGTTTGCGTATAGGTCCAGCTAGCCCTAACACAGGAATCTTGTGTTCCCTTGTTGGGCTCCATGGTGGGCGGGGCCGTCGGACCCAAATCTTATATTTTTCAATCATGGCTTCCTTATTTATTTTAAAAAAACCTGAATCAAATGACACAAATAAAGATATTGAAATCATTGACAAATCTGTGAGCAAGAAAATTCATACCGATGCAAATACCAAAGAAACTACTGAATGTCCTCGTTTTGTTGTTGTTACCAGTGCCTCTGAAGAATTTAAAAACATGTCTCCTTTAATGATAAACAAATACGTTCATTTCTGCATAGGTGAGCCAAGGAACATAAGGCGTCTCCGTTCGGGAGACCTGCTTATTGATACCTTTTTGGCCACCCAGTCTGCTTCACTTTTATGACAAACCAAACTTGGACAGGTCAGTGCACAAAACACTGCGTCAGCGCACAAAACACTTAATTTATGTAGAGGCGTGATCTTGGAAATCGACCTTCTGTGTGTTTTAGAAGAAGAGTTTTTCTCCGAGCTAGCTGATCAAAAGGTTTGTGCTGCCAAGTGGATCAAGATGTGTAAGGAAGGTCAGTTGATTGACACCAAACAAGTGATCCTGACCTTCAATTCGCCTGATCTGCTGAAGAATATTAAGGCTGGATATTTAAATTGCCCCAGTAAGACCTTATATTCCAAACCCCATGCGATGCTTCCAGTGCCAGCGTTTTGGCCACTCCAAGATGTCCTGCCATGGGAACCTGACGTGCGCTCGATGCTCTTCGGTTGGCCACGATAGCGATAATTGCACCGCTGCAGCACTGTGTGTGTATTAATTGCAAGGGCAACCATCCAGCATTTTCCCGTTCCTGTCCTAAATGGAAATTAGAAAAGGAAGTTCAGACCGTAAAATTTTCTTGAAACATTTCATATGCCGAAGCCTGAAGACAAGTTCAAAGCACACAGCCTCAATCAAACAAATCATATGCTGGCGCCGTTAAATCAACACGCACTATAGCCACTCAAACTTCCATAAGTACAGACTTCACCAAATAAACCCCAGCAGCCTGCAAGCAAGAAAAAGGAAAATCCAACCCATGTCATACAAAATAAAGAAATAACAATCTTGAGCAAACCAAAAACTGTGCATCCAAAAATAGTATCCAAAAATAGAAGCCGATCTGTTGATGACATGAATTTAATCTCTAGATTCAGACGGTATGGAAGTGGAGGAGGGAATGGAAGTTTCCCGAGCATCTACTTCCGCGCAAAAACTAAAAAGGAACACAGGAAAAACAAACATCAATCATAATGGCCACCCTCGTCTCATGGAACTGTCGCGGTTTCCACCGAAATTTGCTTGACATCAAAGCTGTAGTAAATGCTTATCATCCTGTGTGCTTGGCAATACAAGAGACAAATCTGAAACCAGATCAACATGCAAAACTTCGGAGGTTTTCTCTCGTCAGGAAGGATAACCTTACAGGTGAGCGTGCCAGCGGAGGTGTATGTCTCCTCACCTCACTGGATTATCCCTCAAGTTCCTTTCCTTTGACGACAACCCTTCCAAGTTGTCGCTACTCAAACAAATCTTGATGTTGTTGTTACAGTTGTTTCTCTGTATTTGCCTCCAAATGAGCACATTGATCAGGAAGATTTAAATGATCTTTTAGAGCAGCTGCCTGAGCCTTTCATCATAATAGGAGATTTTAACAGCCATAGCTCGCTCTGGGGTAGTAAAGATACAAATTGCCAAGGAAGACAAGTTGAGCGAATGATCGAAGATCATAGCCTTTGTCTCCTGAATAATGGGCAGGATACTTACTTTCATGAACCTTCAAGGACATTTCACGCTCTCGACCTTGTCATCTGTTCACCATCTCTGTTGCCTTTTTGCAGTTTTAGTGTGGGAAATGATCTTTACAACAGCAATCACTATCCCATTGTTGTATCTCTTGCACAAACAGGAGCAAACCCCATGTCAAGATCCCCTCGTTCATAATCGATAGGGCAGACTGGGAACTCTTTCTTCCTCTGCAAAGCTCACACATGAAAATGGTAGAAGATGTGCATATCGATGATGCAGTTGGAAGCAGTTACTAACTGCTATTATTCACGGCAGCTATGCTCTCCATTCCTAGAACATCAGGAAAAATAATAAAATATTCGAAACCATGGTGGAATCGTAACTGTCATGAAGCACTGGAAAAAAACAGAAAAAAGCATGGGGAATTTTTCGTAGATACCCAACTGTCGCGAAACCTTGATGGCATTTAAAAGAGCCAAAGCAAAGTGCACGAAAAGTAAGAAGGCAGAGCCAGAGGGATTCCCTGGATTTACGTATGTGTCATCAATAACATCCTCTACTCGTAATAAGCAGGTTTGGCAAACAGTTAGAAAAGTATGCTGAATATTATAAAGACCACTCACTTTCCTTTTTGGAAAAAGACGGCCGAATGATTAGCTCTGTAGAAGAAATTGCGAATACTATTGGTGAGACATTTGCTGCCGTTTTTTCCATCAGAAATTACTCACATGCATTTCTTTCTATCAATCAAGCAGCTCTCTGAGAGAAATCCCATCGCTTTTCAACTCTTCCAACTTTGAGCGCCTTATAATAGAGACTTTACTTACTGTGCTAGAGTTAAAGAGAGTTTTGTTACAGACACATAAGGTCTTCTCCTGGTCTTGATGGCGTGTATAATAACTGAAATGCTGAAGCATCTGTCTATCTAAGTCACTGAATGCCCTTCTCACGCTTTACAATAGAGTGTGGAAGGAGTGTACTTTTCCCCAGTGCATGGAGGAGAGCTATTGTAATTCCTGTTGCGAAGCCAGGGTAAGATCCAAGGAACCCCTCCAACTATCGGCCAATTGCCCTTACCATTTGTGTATGCA